TGGGGTTGATCTATTTTTGGACTCACGGCCACCAAGTTTCTACGTCGAAGGCTTTGAAAAACTACCAAAACCTTGGCAGAAAATCATAGATTTGGGTGGTGATTATTACCCGCACTAAAGTCATTGCTTTTACGCATTTTTTTCTAACTTTATTAAGAATATTTTTTGGCGGAAAACTTTCGTTAGAACTAGATATTTCCATTACATGCAAATTTTTGTGATACAATATAAAAAAACATTAAAATGTAATGAATTTGTTATAACATACACTATTCATTTTTTCAGTTTTTTAAAACTTTAACTAAAAATGATTTTTTTACAGAAGACAAACATTAATCATAAATTAATTTACAGGTTGTTAAATAAAAAGAAAATATATTTTGCTACAGATATTTTTTAACACAATTATACAGTTTGTTCCTATCACTGATTCTGAAAATAATCTTAGTTATTTGTCAATATTAAAAAGTGCACTTTAAATTTTTATGAAATTTTAGAAGCGGCATAAAATAATTATTTTGCAAAAGAAAATTTATTTGTTTTTTCTTTCTGAGAGAAAAAATAGTTTAAAAAAATATAATTCAGGCCATTTTTATAATTCTGGTTCGGATAACAATATGCCTCTATTTGAAACAACTAAAGTTGCACGCTAGAGCAGCTGTTAAACTACAGAAGGATTTACTACCAGTGCAACACACTTGAAGGAGGTGTAGTGGGCTCATAAAGACAATTCAGAATCACACTGTAATGCAGGGTCTGAAATGCTCCCTATGTGGGCTACAGTTAAAAGAAGCAAAGAAAAGAACCATAGCAAATTAGAGTAGCAGAAATAATTTTAGTTACAAGTTTTGGTACTGCCACATTATCCACCTAAACGTCCCACAAAGTCACCAATCGTTGGCAATTAATATTTTGCTAACATAACATATAAAAAACAGTAACTATTTTTTTAAAAAAAAAGGTACACTGAAAATTACATACTATAGCACCAAATTAACAAAATTAAAAATGTGAGAAACATACATAACACAGAAATTTCTAAATACGATAAGTCGATATTTCCCTTTTTGTAGTGAGTATATGCAATAACATATATTTCCTTTTTTATGTTACTTCACTGTGTGATTTAAAATGCAGTTTACTGAGCTTCGATTAGCTGCAAATTTTGTTCAATTCTGATGATGAGTAACTTTGTTTTAACATTATATGGCATCCTCATTGTCCTGATTTTTTTCAAGTGAAAATAAATCGATGTGTACATGGATAAAGTCAAGGGAGTGTGCAATTATCTGATGTTTTTGCAATAAAAAAAAGATTGATGCATACATGGACACCGAGTTTGTGCAATTCTTTAGCTTGTTATTTTGGTTTGAGATATGCCATCTTGAAATTGTGCCTTGCTGGCCAATCGTCAATTTCCGCTAAGGAGCACCCTGAAATATATTTTTACCACAACAATTTGCACTTTCATATTACGAAATTAACTCCTTAACAATGACGTCACTGATTTCATGTGCCACTGTAGACTTTGACAACTTCAAGACGTCAAGAACTGTCTTTGGGAAATGCCGTGCAGCATATTATTATTGTTATATAGCAAAGTAAATTTGAAAATAAAATGTTCTGTTTCTAAGCTTGCACATGAGTGTCCAAATTAAATGGTATTCTTTGGAAGCATATTTTATTTGTATGCCAAAGGGTTAATGACAGTCTTATTATTTAAAAAAAAGATGTCATTTCAGAAGAGTAATAAATAATAAATTTGTCACACTTAGTAAATTCAGAAAATGAGGTAAAATTACAGGCAATTTACATAAGTAACAAAAACAGAATAAATAAAAATATTAACTATGAAAATTAATATTCTCAACTGAATTCTCAGAGTATAATACTTGTAACATTCATTACTGACTATCCAGCACAATAAATGCTAACTACAATTACATGTTAATATATAAATTGGACTTATTAAACAGACCAATAGGCTAGTTTCATTTTTCTGCCAAAAAACCCAATAAACTGTAGTAGAAAGAAATTCACTTTATCATAATTATTTTAAATATAAAATAACATAATCTACACATGATAAAATAATTGGTATAATAGTAAAAGCTTTTAATTAAAAAGAATTCCCTTTATTATTTTTGTTTAAGCAAGCCAAAGCACTCAACACATTCAATATTCGATTCGTCTTATGGAAAATTTACAATTTGTCCCATTTTTAAATGTTAACATTTCTCATATCCAATGAACAACTTAATTTACCAATATATTTATTTACATCAGTAATCAACTATTATGTGATTCCCTCTTAAATGTGATTCATACTCACACTTTCATATAAAATATTTATCGTTTACTTAGTTGACCGACCACAAAACTACTGAAAAACTTCCACAAAAAGCTACACTGCCAGCTAACTAATAAATCAATAATACGCATCACACTAAGAACAAATATTTTAAACTTAGTTTAAAAAAAAGTTGAATCCTGCATGACAGCGCTGAATAAATTAAAATAATCAATCTGAAAGAAGGGCAGCTTTTATAACAACACACACACACACACACACACACACAAAAAAAAAAAAAAAAAAAAAAAAAAATCATTAAAATAAATAATGCATCAAAATTTTTATAATAAAATTCTAAACATTACTGTTCTAAGTTCTTGTAGTGAAATTCCAAGTATTACAGTTATGAGGCCTTTTTGCAGACATTTTATTACACATCCAAGCAATAAACAATAAAAATCATGCATAAAGCAAATAAAACATTACCACAACTACCTTCATGTATGAAGAAGATTCCCCCCCCCCATCTTTTTGAAAAATTCCTCTCATTATTTCTTTGTAATCATCACCAAAAAACATTTTCTTGCTTTATCCCATTGCAAAGCAAATTAATTAAATTTTGCAATTTCACTAAAAAAAAAAAAAAAAAAAAAGATACAGAGTGCAAATAAAGTCAGAAAAGGCAAAGGTTCTTTAAAAAAGAACTGCAAAGTTTCGGAAAGAGTTATATTATTGTAAACTGCATTTGTGTTACAATAATCTTATTTCGAGAATCAGAATAACAATAAATTTAAATTCAAAATTAAATTCAAAATCTGTAGTTGAATTTTTCTTTAATAAATTTTATTTATTGAAATTTTAACTCATTTTTACATAAAATTTCTTATTATCTACATCCCCATCAAAAAGTCATAAAAAATATAATTAAAAAAGGCTACATACACCTAGCAAAAAAAAAAAATTAGACTACTATATCTCCCGTTCTACTGGACCGATAGTCAAAATTTAACTTGTGTTTTCCACATCTCAAAAGTGCGACTTAGAATAAATATTAGATATTTATGTAGCATTATTTTAACACATGTATTCTGACGAAAATTAGACTTTTTCTGAAATAATATATAAATACACCATTAAAAGCATATACATTTTACACACAATGCATAAAAGTTGGTAATTAACATAGAATATGATAATAATATTAAAGCACTATAATAAGTGAACAATTAACAGAGAATTATATTGAATAAAAATTATTTGCATTTTCGACACAATATACGTTTAACGTGATGTATAAAACCTCTTCTTTTGTAGATACCCAAACTACACTTCTAAAAGAAATGGAGATACCTATATTTAATGACCCCCTTCATATTTACACAGAAATAATAACTGCACATTTAGTACTTTCTAAATTACTATCCACAACGCTGACCTTTAAATTTTATATCAGATATTACATAGTTTTTAAAACTGCTGCTTCAAGGAATATATTTTTAAAGCATAAACTTCTAGAGTTCAAGAGAGTTTTAAAAAAAAGGTCTTGTATGAATTTAACCCAATTAAACAAAATATGCAAACACATAAAACATTAATAAACTTCTTGATCTTTTAATAGTTTTTTCAAAATCAAAAATCATTCAAACCTTTACATATGATTATCATTACAAACCCATCTAATACAACTGTTCAAAGATGTACCATCTATAATAGCATTCTGACAACTTCTAAATAATTTAACTAGGAAGCAAAAATATGGATTAAAATTTCTCAAATTAAAAAAATTAAACTCCGCCGAAAATGAAAGCTCGGTTTAATCCTAGTATCCGGTGCACACGGGATTTGGCTACTTTTGGCGACTTTTTGATGAGCAGTAAAAACGGAACATATACGATGAGTAGTAAACGGGTATCCAAAGAATATATATAGTTATACATAGTATATACTATGTATATAGTGATAGAATATAGTGTACAGTATACTATCACTATATATACATAGAACGTTCAGCTCTAAAATATTCATTTAAAGTACCAGTTTTATCCAAAAATATTTTCAGTAGTACATGAAAAAGAGCTAATTTCATAAACAAACAAAAGCAGTAAAATACTCTAATTTACGCGTAGATTACATTTTTTATAATAAATAAAACACAGGTTGCCAAACATTCATTATTCACCATTTTACAATTAAATGATTACATTTTAAATAAATACAAAATGAAAAATATATTTGAAGTGTACGGAAGCCTTCATTAAACACGCTTTCTATAATAGAAATAACTTTGTTTACAACTGGACTTGCATTAATCATACTAATAAATATAACTCTAATCCTCAAAGCACTGACAAATCATAAAAAAGGGACTCTTTTTATGAATAGGATAAAAATGCATCGATTTAGTTCTGTCACTGAGATCAGTTTTCTGATAAAATCAGCTGGTCGAGATAACTCGCTCTTTAAAATAAGCTTTGTAAAAAAACCTTTATAGAAAACATAAAACTGGTTTAATGTCTAAAATTTACAAATTTTTAAGTGAAAATCTATACTCTATTCCATTTTCTGTACTAATCATAATATAAAATAAAATGATATTTTATATACAATGTTCATTTAAGCCTAGAACCGCTACATAGCATTCTCTTCGATGATCGAAAGGAATAATACGAAAGATATTTTTCTGTCAATAAAATTCGATAGCACTTACAAGACCCTCTTTTCTAACTTTCAGCAGTCGTCCGCCCATTCGTACTCTCTGAGATGTACTGATCATTCATAAAATTATTCACCATAATAATGGCACATGGGTTCCTGTATTTTGCACACAAACTCATGCTTCGTTTTCATAATGGTCTATGACGTCACCGGATGGCGGGAACCCGGAACTCCTCTTTAATTAAAGAACGACTGCTGCTTTCTAAATTTCTACAATTCGCAATATAACTACACTTTTTAAGAATAGAAATTGATAAAAGTTTCGCATATAGGAAGAAGCTAAGCAACTACATTTAAAATCAAATCGAAATTTTGGGTTAAATTTAGCAATGTGTGTTACCACGCCATGTAACGGAACGCCGTAACAAAATTCGATGTCGAAATAGTGGCGCCATCAAGTGACAATACTTGTAGTTTATAATTCAACATTACAATTTAGCTTACATAAAGAAATTTTTAATAATTTTGATTCATCAAAACTAAATTACGTATACTGATCAGACAGAATAAAAGTTTCTTTCATGCATAAGGAAGCAATAAATTTTAATTATTTAAATAAATAAGTAATATTATATCTTTATTAAAATTTAATATTAAAAAATGTTCCCCCTCTTATGTTAAAATACTAATGAATACTTTTGATTCGAAGGATTTTCATCATTATTATGAAATGAAACTAATCACTTGGATGACATTAAGAGCTTTCATTCTAAACAAATTCCAACAACTCTATATATTAGTACGCAAAAGTATTTTGCATTGGAAGAGTATAGAGTTGTGATGGACAACTTCTGGCTCACAAGAAAGCCGTGTTTAAAAGTGACTGCACCTGTGACGACACAATACATTTATTTAGCCAATATCTAGATGCACACTTTGTAGAAAGTAGTTTTAACATTAGGTAAATAAGCAGGTGCTTAAGCAAATGTCTATTGAAGGTTTCGGCCTAGATCGTCCTGAAAAGACTAGCCCCAACATGACTATCATTTGGGGCTGCTGCATAACGTGCCAAGCCATAAAAATGCGGCTCGATCAATGTTTGCCAAGACAAAAATCTTTCACAATAGTGCCCCCGCATACAGGTGACAGCTCAGTGCTACTTTTAAACATGGTCACTATGGAACTGAGAACACCAGTGGCCCACATTTTTAATAAATTAATCATTATTCTCCAGAAAATTAGTATAGTAAGGGTCTCAGAATACTATGGAAGCTCTGTTAAGATGGCCCCATATCGGCTCTTTTAATCAATAGCAGGTTTTGTTATTAATATAACATTAGTATGTTTTACAAATAATAGGGCAAAAAGGCTGAGATAAATATTATATATATAAACTTTAAATATGATTTGTCAGTTACAGTATTAGAACGGCTAATTTGCAAAAATGTGGGGTGTATGTTTCTTAAAAAAATCAGTTTTCATAGCTAATGAAAAATGGAAAATAATTAGTTCGAGTGTTCCTTAAAGAATTGCATTCATACAAAATTTATTTGTGTTAACTTTAAGACAGGGTTGCCATAAAATAGCAAGGAAGGCAGGGTTGCCACATGTGGCAAGAAATCACCCATTTGGCGATATACCATGGATGAACGGAGAGCCTCCTGGATCGAATTCTTACCGATTTAGCCCAGAATGTTTTCGAACACAAGCCGAAAGCTATATAAACCCTGCTGGTCCGCAGTCAGGGAGACAGTGCCCCGCCTAGAGTGCGAGATAATTAGTCTCGAGTTAGTCCGTGCGGAGTCGATCGAGTTGGCAGCCGGACAGCAAGTGCCGAGTGGGTCGTCGAGTGCATCGAAGAGTCTCTTAGTGTATCGCGGTTAGTGCATCGTCGAGAGAAGGTGTTAAGCTCCGGGAACGACTAAACCGAAAAGTCGGGAGCTGTGCTCTGTGTGTCGAGTGCATCGCGAGTTGTAGAGTGGAGAGTCTCGAGAGTAGTAACGTTACGAGAGTTCCGTTGTAGAGTGGAGTTCCGAGAACGACTGAGCAGAGTCCTGGTGCTTTGCAGTGAAGCTTTCTCCACCGTTATAGCTTGATAACCTGAAGACTGTGTCGCTGATTGTTCCAGCGAGTTTATAGTAGATCTTCGACGACTGTAAAACGTGACTTTGGAGCTATTAGCTAAATAAAGTGTGTTTCGATACTTCATCAAGTGTCGTCGTTATTCACTCCAAATCCACACAAGCCCCGTAAGAACGTGAAGGAAGAAAATAACGCAACAACTGGTGTCAGAAAATAACGCAACAATATGTACTGAACAACAGGCCTTGTATGCCAATGTAACTGATTTCCGCAGAAATGACGTTCATTTCCGTACGGCACGAACTAGGACGGATGTTATCTTCGCGGTGTATTGTGCTGAACCATATGCCTCATCAAACGCTGGTGAACATTGCGTTTTTAGCTGTTTTAAGTTTTAATTATTTTTTTTAACTTTATTTGTTGTTGCTATACAGATGTATTTAAAAGTTTTGCAATTTATTTCTGCGTCAGTGAACTTTCTCTTGTTACCAAAGATTTGACTTAAAAAATATTAGAGACGTTACGTACTTTTCTGGGTATTCATTTGTAATCTTCTTCTCATAAAGAAGTATAATTACTGACTGTTTTTTCCTTTCCGATTAATAATGTTGCTCATTTTACACTTGCATTTTAATTCTATGCATTTTACAACGTTTTTGAATAATGGAATAGCAATATTTCTTTTCGAAAAGCACAATAACATACCCTCAACTGACAGCGTGTTCACATGCGACATTTTGAAAGAAGAATAAATTTAAAAGTAGCAGACGATATTTCTCATTTCAAATAATAAGCTGTGGCCGGAAAATTTAATACAAAATAATTTCCTTTTTTTTTTTTTCTTTGCTTCAGTTGGCGAGATTTCAACAGAAACCTGCTGTAGTCTTTTAAATACTACTCGCCAAATAGAGCTTCGCAATCTAGCTTCTGGTTTTCGGGCAGAGTTTGAAGGATATCCGCTGCGTTTGTTTTCAGAGAAGCGGCGATATGGCAGGTCTTAGTTTCAGATTCCCATCCATTTGCGTTTGCCACTATAGGGACTGAATCTTATACACTCGCCAGGATGTCTTTTCATCATAAATGATGAGAGGGTCGGAAAGACGTAAATACGAATTTAAAGGAGTCAGAATTGTGTCCAGCTGCAGCTTTGGATTTCTTTATGTTGCTAACTTTCTTGGCGACAACAGCTGAAACTCAACCATCGATTTGTTGTTCAACAGCAAAAACTGTTTCCTCGATTTGTTGTTCAACTGCAGAAACTGTTTTTCCATTTTGTTGTTCGACATCAGAAACTCTTCCTTCAATTCGCTGTTCGCCAGCAGAAACTCTTTCTTCAATTTCTCCAACTTTACTTTGAGCCGTGTCTATTCTATATTCCACAGCCTAGAATTTGCTTTCCATTATGGCAGTAATTTTTCTTTTCCTTTCCTCTCGACCTGCTTAAATCTTTTCTTGAACTGACGTCACGGAAACTGACGGCCCTTCCCATCTTTTTTTGAACTGCTTTCCTCTCCTCTTCAATGGAGTTGGTGGTCCCTTCATTTTTCTTGGAATGCAACAAAGGCTATCAGCAGCTGTCTTAGTTGCTGCTCCATCGCTCTTGTCTCCGGCATTCAATACCGCTTCTGACGCAAAATATTGTTCCGGTGCGGGTTCGTAATAGATTGAATGCACACGGAACCGATGATAGCTTGATATTATTTATTTTATCCTAACCCAAAACACTTTACTGCTCTGGAAAAGTATTCGTACAGCTGTTCTCTATATGACAGAACACAATCAGGAGTTACACTTCAAACTACTAAGAACGTTAAACACAACGCAGAGCAAAGTACATATGAACTCGCTCGGAGATCTCTCAACTCACAGAAGTCCATTTTGAACTCAAAACTGATAGCGAATGCTCTTTCTGGTTTCAAACAGTTCTCTCAGTCTCCGAGAAATTTCCAGTGCCTTCCATTTCTTGCAAATGCTGGAAGGGATATACAGAAAGGAAAGGATATACAATTGCTGGAAGGGATATTCGACCAATTACTGTTATATAGGGACCTGATACAAATGCCATCAAAATTTCTCCAAGTTTGGCGGCTTTTAGTGAATTCTTGCCAAATTTGGCAAAACCATTACCAGCCTGGTGCTTGCTATCTCGCCAATTTTGCAAGACTACCATTTACTTCAGTTTTAAATGACGTGCCCATGTAAACTTATTTTTCTGGTGAAGCTTCGCTTTTCGAGGCACTTCATGTTTCATTATACAAGTTATACAAGTTATTCATGTTACATTGTATACAACTATATGCAAAACTGTGGTATACAGTTTTGCATTTACAACAATATTTTGTGATTTTGCTGTTAAATTTTAAATGGCGTAAGTGCGAAGTGCTAATAATAAATAAATATAAAAACCGAAAGGTAATAATTCAAAGGAAAAAATGTTGTGTAAATCATCTTACTAAGAAAATTAAATATCGATATGATAAACTGAGAAAAAAGACTGAAAAATTCATGGCAACACTTTAGCACTGTCGGGAATTCTAAAAATATGCTGCGTTTAAAAAATTTGTGATTTTGCTGTTGAATTTCATGCTGCGTAAGTATGAAGAAAGTGATGTTTAATAAGAAAGTTCAAAAGCCAAAAAAAAAAGTTGCGGAGATAATCTTGTTAAGAAAACTGAACACTGATATGATGAATTGAAAAAAGACTAAAAAAATAGAAAACTCTATGGCAACACTGAAAATTATAAGGAAATTCTAAAAATATATTTCTTGAAAATTTTATGATTTTTCTTTGTTGATTTAAATATTGTAGTGTAAGTCTGAAGAAAGCGATGTTTAATAATAAAGACAAATGAAGTTGTGTTAGCAGGAATGAGTCTAAGAGCAGATTGGTAAATTGCGAGGTGATAGAAAGCATAAATGTTCTTGTGCGAAGTTTAAAAATTTCTAGTGCGACGTTTTCCTTGTGCGACGTTTCTGGTGCGATGTTTTCCTGATGCGACGTTTCTGGTGCAAATCTTTCAGATTTTTTATGGTGGTGGGGTTATTGTTGTTTACGAATAATATCCTTTTAACAACTCAGCCGTTATATCCATATGCTCCATAAGGTATTTTCTCCCTCCCTTCAAGCATGCCTTTGGTGTAGTATAACGGTAGCACACTCCAAGTGTATTCGAAAGGTCAAGGTTTGGTCCCGGAGAGGGCATTGCTCATTTTTCACGCGTCCTGCTTTAAATTGACTCTATAACTCGTCTGATATTTCCAAGATTAACGTACACTGCAAACCTTTCTTATCATTCAGGTGCAG